TTCCCACCACCAGGCCCAGCTAATTTTTGTATTATTAGTAGAGACAGGGTTTCACCATGTTGGCCAGGCTGGTCTCAAACTCGACCTCTTGATCCGCCCACCTTGGCCTCCTAAAGTGCTGGGATTACAGGTGTGAGCCACCACTCTGGCCCAAAGTTAATAATTTCTAAATGCTGGCTTGTAGTGAGGATTGTAGATCATGCATATAAAACTTGGAATTTGCTCAGTAAACATAGGTTGTAGTGTGATCCATTCAACAGCATAGTTTTTCTTCATTTTTATTTTTTATCCTGATGAAAACAATTGTGCTTTTACAATCTCAGAAAAGATAGAACCATTATGTGTTTCACCATCCATAGCTGATTGTGTGCTTCTGACACTACTATCACGTTTTTTATCATTATACTCTTGTTTTTTTGCTTGGGAAGTTGGGATTTTGACCTCTCCCTCATCTTGTTCCACATTTGCCAATTAACTGGCTCTATTAAGATGGAAATCAGTGTGTTTCTTTCAGAGTTCTTAGCACATGTGGAAGCTTAACATGAACTCTTCCTGACCCAGTTTTGATCTTTAATAGGTCAGTGTCATTGGTGTTTTTTCCACGGCCTCCCAGACTTGTCCTCCATGATTCCTGGGGCAGGGGGCTGGGTGGGTGACAGGACTTGAGGAAGGGAAAGAGTGGGATTGAATTAAGAGGAAAAGGCAATAAAATCACAAGCACATACTAATCCAAGAGAGTTCCTTCCCTAGTCCCCTAACCAAAAAGCCAGTAAGGCCATCCAGGAGTATGAATCATACATTTGTAAAAACAAACCACTTTTCTGCTGAAGTAAGGAAGCACAATCCATCCCTAAGTGCAGGGTGTCCTGAATTTATGAGGTGTCAGAGCTCATGTTCTGTCTGATCAGAATTACCTTTAGAAATGACTAATCTGAACATATGGCGCTCCATGGTGGCCAGGAAGCTCTAGGCATCAAGTCTGCAGCAGCCTCCAGCTCTGTCCAGCTCTGTCCAGCTCTGAGCTCCCCCATGTGAGGTGGAACATGGCATGAACCTGACAGCCAGGCTCAGACCAGAGTGACATCCCGTTGAATGTCTCTGCTTCAAGACTTCATTTCTCATGCTTGGCTTATTCCAGCCAACTTTTGACTTAGCTCCTCACTAGAGATTTTGGCAGTTATTCTGCCTGGACCTAACAGCCAGAGTGAGGAGCAGACCAGCACAAAGGTTCAATGTGAGAGCCTTAGAGCCAGCTTATAGGGCTCCAAGTCCCAGCTCTGGCCCTTATTAGCTTTGTGACCTTCAGGCAAGGAACAACTTCTCTGACTCTGTATTGTCATTGGTAAAAAGGGGATAGTATTAATTCCTACCCCAGGGTTGTTTGGATGGAAAATTTGTAACAGACATGAAAGAGTCTAGCACAGCAACTAGCCCAGCATAGGCAGGTGCTCTAAAGCTAACTTTGGCCAACTAAACAAAAAAGGAGTGTGTTAAAAAGGATCAGAAGTTCTCAGATTATTTGGAAAGCTACAAGACTTGAGCCTTGTCTGGACACAGTGGCTCACGCCTGTAGTCTCAGCACTTTGGGAGGCTAAGGTGGGAAGATCACTTGAGGTAAGGAGTTGGAGAACAGCCTGGTTAAAACAGTGAAACCCTGTCTCTACTAAGGATATAAAAAATTAGTTGGATGTGGTGGCGCACACCTGTAGTTTCACCTACTCGGGAGGCTGAGGCAGAATTGCTTGAACCCAGAAGGCGAAGGTTGCAGTGAGCCGAGATTGCACTGCTGCCTGGGCAACAAGAGTGAAACCCCATCTCAAAAAAAAAAAAAAAAAAAAAAAAAAAAAAAATTAGCCGGATGTAGTGTCTGGTGCCTGTGATCCCAGCTGCTTGGGAGGCAAAGGCAGGAGAATTGCTGGTACCCAGGAGGCAGAGGTTGCTGTGAGCCAAGATGGCGCCATTGCACTCCAGCCTGGGTAACAAGAGCATAACTCTGTCCCCACGCACCCCCCCCCAAAAAAGTAAGAGTTTTAAAATCAGCTGTCACCGAGTTCAATTCCTTGCTGTGACTTGTAACAGCTGGGTGACCTTGGGCAATTTTTATAATCTCTGAGCAAAGGTATCCTGTCTGTAAAGTGAAGTTAATAATTTTTTTTTTTTTTTGAGACAGAGTCTTGGCCAGGCATGGTGGCTCATGCCTGTAATCCAAGCATTTTGGAGGCCAAG